TGATTAATAATTGTTACAATGGTGACTATTTTGTGAGAACTCGCAAACTAATCAAAGTATTTAATTGTCTCTTAACTCTTTTTTTTTCTTTCTCTGTTTGTCCTCTTCTGTACCTGTACTCTCTCTCCTTCTCTCCATGTAGCTGTTAGATTTCCTGGAGTGCCATCCCTGTGCGTTTATACCGCTGATCCAGCGTTCCCTCGAATTTGCCGTCAGCTATGTATTCACACCTGCAGGCGAGGGAGTCACCTTCGAACGCTTCATCGTTCAATGCATGAACCTGATCAAGATGATTGTAAAAAACGATGCCTACAAACCTGCCAAGAACATCGAGGGTAAGAAATGAGGCCACTGGGAAAGGAGAGCGGAATGAAAACGGAGAATAAAGGATGTGTGAAGTGACGACTTGAGGGAGTTTAAAGAACGGATAGATGAGCGATAAGAATTTTAGGCATTCAGGAGGAGAAAGTAGTTTCAGTTAAAAAGGTAGACGTTCTTATCTGGAGTGTAGGTCTATGATTGGAGGCCTTCATAGGACTCTCTCACTCTTCAGAGCTGACAGTGATTTAAAGAAAACAAGCACAAAGTTCTCGTGTACGGCACCTTTCCATGGCTCATGTTTAATGCAAGCTTTCACAGGCCTCCCGTGCTTCATTAGCCATGGTAGCACAGTGTTTGTTCTTCTTAGGTGGGATCTCTGCTGTGCCCTGTTGAAGGTTTTTTTTGTGTGCGATTCATAGTTGACAGTCAGGAAATGTGCTATGTGGGTATTGGTGCAGAACTTTATTCTAACTTTAACTTTATAGGACAAATAGTAGAGTCTACACCTGCTCTTTATAGAAAGTGTTAGGGGATAACTTCAGTTGTAATTTGGTTCTTTATAAATTAACATAGAGGAGTGACTGATTTCTAAACATTAAGCTAAGTAGTGTAAGTAGCTAACACAGCTAAAGGGAAAAGTTCAGCCTTGACAGACACAGCACAGCCCAGAGCAGCCATCTGACTTATTTATTATGCCGCGGCTGTCAGTCAAATAGACGGACAGGAAGGCCCACGTGTGTCAGACTCAGAGAGCATTAGAACAGAGCCTCGAGGGTTGCATTGTGTGCAGTGACATTGGGTCAGGGGCCACAGGTGAAGTGGAGGTGTGAAAGTCAAATCGAAAGACTGACATACATCATTATGCCTTTTTTGCTTAATAATCAAGAAACGTAATTAGACACTTTAAATGAGCCTGCAGATTGAAGAAGAGGATTTTGGATGATCATGTCTAAGACCCCCCTTTTACTTTTACCATTATGTTTACTTCTAACCTGTGCAATCATGCTAACTTGTATTGTATTTTGTAGATCTACCTACTCAGGGTGTCAAAAAGTTCAATACTTCAGTACTTTTCAATACACATGTTTTGATACGGCACAATCGCCGTTATTCAAATGATTGAAAGTATGAAAAAGAAAAGGCTTTTTAAAAACGTTTGATCGTCAGTCGCCTTTCTTTGCGGCCGCTCAGAGTGTTAAAGTTGAAAAATCTTTTAACTTTTCAGTAAGGCGCTGTTGATGTCATCAGGCGCTCGTTTCCAAATGTAGGATATTCCCCATATTTTTGCAGACTAAGGATCGCAATCGTACCAATATCCTCTTTGCTCCGTGTCTGGTGGGGTAAAAACAATCTCAAATAGAAAGCATACAGTAAAAAGCAATGAGGCGGTGTCGGTCATATAGCGACTGTGGTCAACAGACTGTTGTCATAGAGACAAGGTGAACGTGCAGCACTATTCTTCTCAGTGCACAAATGCTTCATGCAAGCGCTCCCGAGGACACAGCCGGCACTTTTCTGGAAAAACGCTAAGTGAACACAAGGCCCAAGGAAGTACCAAGGCATAACTTGAGTGGTAATATTAGTTCAATTGTATGGATTGTGATTAGTTATTTGGAAATATCTTTCTTTTCATCATTCTTTCTTTTGTCTCTTTTTACATTCCCTCCCTCAGACAGTAAACCAGAGAGTTTGGAGGCTCACAAGATCAAGACGGCATTCTTCACACACCCCACACTGACAGAGATCGGGCGCCGGCTCGTTTCACACTACTTCCTGCTCACAGAGGAAGAGCTGGCAATGTGGGAGGAGGACCCTGAGAGCTTTGGTAATAATAAGTCATCAGCAGATACTAAAGTGAATCCAAAATGTCTTCACTTATCTGCACACGCAGACTGGCAGGAATCAAGAGTAGCGAGGAGTTTTTCTATATTTTAAATCCAGATACAGTTTTCTGGATATGAATGCAGAATCTACTGCCAATGATAATGTTTCTTACTGCAGTTATTATTGCTTGTGTTATTAGTCCACAGTACAAATGGTACTGATCAAGCTTGGTTGCGTGCAGGAAAATGCATTTTGTACAGATGAAGAGGAGGAACACACTGACCAAAATGAAATCTCGAAACCCATTAGCTATGAACTCACATGGTATAGCCTCTCAGAGCAACGAGGGGTTCAGTACGGCCAGAGTTTATTCACACAAGTGATAAAGGAACTCCGGATCAGGAGTTGCATTTGGGCCCTTGTCATGGTTTACAGTCATGAAAAGTAATCACTGATGCAACTGAAGACAGAAAATAGAGTTGTTGAGAAACAACCTCTATGACTGTTAAGATTATAAGCTTTACACACAAGAAACTGTATTCAGATTAATAAAAAGATGGATGGTTTATACAGTAGATGAGCCAATGGATTTCAATTGACTGTTTTCCTGCATAAGGCTGGCACGAGGAGGAAGTCTTGGCTCAGACTTTCTCTATCCAGGTATCTACTGTCAACATTAGAAAGCCTATAAGTTTTGGCTGCCGCCCAGAGATTGATTAATTGCCAATCGGTGCAGATTTCGAATTTCATAAAAGCAACACTGCGTCTACGAGTGCAGGCTTCCCAAGAAAATTTAGTTGAGCTGATGTATTGATGAAGTGGTGATGCACTTTTCATGGGGGGACATCTGTGTAGGTTCTGAGTCATCCAGGTCATGGTAGATTCAAAACCTTGAACCGGTCCATTTGCCTTGGAATCAAGCTTTGAACTTCCCATGGTGACAATCCAGACCCGGTGTACAGAGTCTACATTTGGAGACTACATGTGGAATCTGTAAAAAGAGATTAGGTTCTGCGTTGAACACACAAATGAATCAAAGCCCTTAAATTGTGATTTTAATGTGATAATCTGCAGAGTTTAACATCTTTCACCTAGCATTAATTTATTGACTGTTTTTTATTCAATGGATAAATGTCCTTTACTTACCAGAAGACATATCACTTACATAAATAAAATAAATCATTACATGCTTAATTCCCAAGTAGTATTACTCTGGACATTCTCGTATTATTCTAGAATGTGCTGATGTCGACTCCCCTTGGAAAAATGACCAGAGGGTAAATATCTTGCTTTTGATTAAAGCTTTGGCAGCAATTGAGATGTCAATAACAAACTATACTTTGCCTGCAGCCTGGTGCCCCTGCAGACTTGATGTAATGACACTGATTGCTCAGATATAACACTTTATAAAGCCAGGACCGCACGGGCTCAATGCAGTGGTGGAGAGTATTGACTTTTGGATTCAGTTCTACTGTCAGGCAGAACAACACACAAGTGCAGAGGAATACATTCGCACTCTGACAAGGTGTACACTATTCAGCAGCTTCAGCCGTAGATAACCCTCTCTCCTCTCCTCTTTATTCCCCTTCCCCTTCTCTCCTCTGCAGCTGTTGAAGAATCAGGAGGTGACTCTTGGAAATACAGTCTACGGGTAAGAAACATGCACACTATGAAATAAAATTATTTTATTGTTGTTAATGACCTGTAAGAAGCAGAAACCAACTCAAACAGAGTCCTTCCAGGTCTCTGAGTCGTTGGAATTTGGAGTCGTAAGTGCCCCATTGATTATGGTTGTACACACTATGCTCAAACCTTTCTGCAAAATAACCGCGCTGCATCTTTTCCCTGGTGTCCCTAGCTTGTCATAAAGGCGGGAATGACAAGAGGAATTGTGTTCATAAAAAAATAGTATGTCCTCCATGCTTCATTCGAGGTAAAAAAAAATAACATAAAAAATTGCCTAGTTTGTCATGATCAAAGTACAAACATTCAAGACAAAAAACTGAATTTGGAATAGAATTGCATGCCTGGAGCCGTAAGCAAAGGTAAAGACTCATAAGAGCAGACAATTTCAGTTTAATGGAATTGCTATCATATTACTTGCCAAACAGATTCTCTCTGATTTATGTATCAAATATGAAAAGTTATTTATGTGGTGGCTCCAAACAGATGAAATACATTGCAGTTTATAATCCTGCAGCTGTTCCGTGAGTTGGCAGCGGCTTTTTTTTCTAGCAAAATATACTCCATTATGACATAATCTCTTATCCAATATTTGATTTTCTCTCTGTTCCCCTTGTTTTTTTTTCTCCAATTTCTCTTCTTTGTTAAGTTCCATCTGCTTAACCCCTTCTTATGGAGAGAGAGAGAGAGAGAGAGAGAGAGAGAGAGAGAGGCCACAATAATGCTGTGAAGAAGTCTGGCCTTGGTGCTGGATTTGCATTTTTATGTAGGCTCCCATCTCTGTTCGACTATCCTATCTGATAAAGGCAAAAAGGCCAGAAAAAATAACTTTAAAGAAAACACAAAAAAACAGCAGCAAATACTTCAGGATACATACTAAATGAAGCTCATCCATTAAACAACCAAAGTGGACCCAACAGTAGCTGATGAACACATCAAATAAAACAAAAATATTCAATGAAAATGAGAAATAAAGGAGTTTTCTGAGGGAATAAGTGACGCTCCCTCACACCAATATTGACAGATTTGTCATGGAACTACATTTTTTACCTTTATTTTTTGTCTTATGAAATGGGTAGACAGACTAACAAAGAGAATATAAGCTTTGAACTGCTGTGAGAAAAAGAGCTTCACTTTGGTCAAGTCAGATGGAAACCCTCTCATGCATCGAATCTCATTTTAATTCAGATTTTTTTTTTTTTAATCATTCAAGGAATACTTCAGCAGAAAGATGAGACATTTACACAGTGGAACAATAACCTCAATTTAGAAGACTTTCTAAACTGACGTAGAAAATACTGAACAGCTCTCTCACAGAATGTATCCCTTCAGTGTTAGTCTTTCATGCGGAGGTGTTGGGTTTGTTACAGGTATAAACACCAGCTGCCAAATCACTGCAACTTAATTAAAGTTTAGAGTTGCCTAACAGTTTTTTTTGTACATAATTATGTTCATTATATTAAGAGTTTATACCTTCGGCGTCCCTCAGGCTGGAAGTTTGAAATGATCCACGTCAGCGTCTCTGCAGATCTGTGCACAGAAGGGTAACTTCATTTAGCTTCTATTTAGCTTTCACAAAGGCATTGAATACACACATAGCTTCCTGCGTATGTATGCCCTCTTCTGGCCTTTGAAGTAGCGTATCTTTATGCTCGGGAGGTTTCATGAATTACAACACCTACGCAAATCCATTCTTTCTATGTTTGCCCATTCTAATGACTGATTATGGTCTTCCTGCATATCCCCCCTCCGCCCCCCCAACAGAAGAAAGGTTTGTTCTGTGTTGTCTTTTTCAATGTGTCCTCTGACCTCTGAACCACAATGGCAGAAAAGCTTTAAGACATCACAGGACGTGCGTTAAGAAGTCTCACACAGCTGCTGTTCATGAATTGGCTCAGTCCATGGATACTCCTTTATTGAATATTGATTTTTCTGTGACATCTAAAATCCAATACTCTACTGAAGGTGATTGAGTTACCATCACTCTTGTTTGAGCCACACACACCGATACACACGCGCACACACACAGATACACAAACAAAGAAATCCCTCGGACAGTGACTTATTGCAGCAGCTACAACACTTCGGTTCAGGCTTAATTGATTGAATTGATTTCCAAACCTAACTATTTTTTTATTTTTCATTTAAAGACTTAAATGGATTAGCTGAACAATACATTTATGATCAGCAAATTCAATATTCATGCTCCACGTTATGTAGGTTAACATCCCACCAACGCGCCCCCCCCCCCCCATTCTACATATTAACTTGCCTTTACTTGTGTCTCTTCTCTTCCTCTATTCAGCCTTGCACAGAAGTACTGTTCCTGGATATCTTCCACAACTACAGCCAGACACTGACACCAGTCCTGCTGGATATGGTTCAGAATCTCCAGGGTCAGTTAAATGTCACTTTATATATCATTTCAAGGCAAATGTACAGTGTGCTCTCTTTTCAGCATACCTTTTAACATCCATTCAAGTATCAGTGTTTTTTGGGCCGATATCGAAATTGTGGGGGAAAAAAAATCTGATATATCGGCTGATATCTTTCTGTGTTGAGATATGTCTATCTGCAGAGATAGATATAGATATACACATTTATTGCGTCGATTCCTCAAATGCAGATTTTCAAACACTCAACTGGAAAACAACTGCTCATGTACATGCGTGACCGCTTCACACTGTGGAGGGTAATAATACTTGATATAATCCATGTAGCACATGCTGCTGGTGTAATACAATCAAACTCAAATTAAATGCTATTTTACTGGTGAATAAATCGAGTAATATCGGCACATGTCTGCGTTAAAACTAGCCGATACCGATAGTCACTGGATATGCCCATATGGGAATTGGTTGGGCTCTAATATGGACCTATGGGTTTGAAATTAAGTATAAAGGATTTGAATATTGCTTAGTTTCCTTCATGACAAAAAAATCTTGATGCGTCTCATCCATCATTATATGTCCTGTCCTCAGTTGACGTGATTGATGCATTTTTTTTTATACATCTATCGGGTTTCTCTCAGCAATATGTGCAATATTTACAGGTCTGACCTCACATTCATGTTCCTTAGTGACAGCCTCCTTCACCATTACAACCACTCTTAACTCTCTAGTCAGTCAGCCAGCCAGTCACACACACACACACACACACACACACACACACACACACACACACACACACACACGTCCCTGCTGCTGGTCCCCTGATGCTTCCAGCCTGTAGATCTTGTTCTGGTACTGAATAACTGGGGCCATTGCTCAGACTAGCGGATAACAGGGTCTGCTTCCGGCCTGTCTCCCAAGCTGCTTTTGTTTTCAAGTGACAGACTGGAAATCGCTTCTGCTGGAGCAAGAAAGACAGCAGATTGGGTTGAAGGCAGGTAGCTATTGATTTTTGAGACCTGAGTACACAAAGAGGACTATTACAGTGTGAAAAAAACAGAAACTGTAAAATGACTGAGACAAGACGGATATAGTGACGGCCCAGGCCTCTGTGAGTTGAAGCTGTTACATGATGTGGTCACTGGGTCCATGTCTGTTTCTATTACATGTTTCTCCTAGCTCCTGTCTGTATTGTCACAACCATTAAATATCTATATTGTATCTGTCCATTCAGGGCCAACCAACGTGGAAGAGCCTGTTCAGCTGCTGATGAAGGATGCAGGTGAGTCAAAGGCTTCCCAACACAGTTTCCCTTTCAAGGACCACATTCACCCCTCGGGCCAGATGTATTAAATCACTGTTGTGAACTCAAAAGTCTGAATTTCTGGCTTAACTTTTTAATCTTTTAATCCAACAAACTTGAAGGTTTTCAAGTTCATTTTGTCTCCTTATTTAAACTCTACCAGAAACAAAACAAAACAAACATTGAAAGCAGATGAAAGGTGGAGGACTTCAAACTGAGATATGGATTTGAATCAATAGAGCAATAGTATGCATTAGGGCCGGACCGATATGGGATTTTTTTGGGGCCGATACTGATATCGATATTGGTGGCAGAATAAACAATCAGATACTGATATATATATATATATATATATATATATATATATATATATGTATATGTATATGTATATGTATATATATATATGTATATGTATATTGGCTATTGTCCGATATATTTTTTTAGATCTAAGTTCGATAAATAAACATGTGTATTGCGTTGATCCCTTATATGCAGTTATCAAACACTTGTTGAAAAGAAACTGTATAACGAAGATAAGATGGTCACTCAACTGGAAAGCAACTGCTCATGCACGTGCGTCACAGTTTGACACTCTGGAGGGAGCTCATTGTTGCTGTAATCCATATTGCACATTGCGCTGGTGACAGCAACAACGTTTCACTGCTGGTGTAATACAATGATAGTCAAATTAAATGCTGTTTGACTGGTGAATAAATCTAATAATTTTACAGATATCTGCGATAAATATTGCAGATACTGATAGTCCCTGGATATGCTAATATCGGCCTCTATCATCAACCAGCCAATTTATCGATCAGGCTCTAGTATGCATTACCGTAATATTTTGACATCTGCGTAATCACATGAATATGAAAATTCAAAATATGGATACACTTTGTCAGTACTGCTTTCTGACTCACCCAATCTGTCCGGTCTTTGTAAATCTTTTCTCTCCCCTCTCTTTTGTCTTTCATTGCTCTCCCTTGTATTCCTCTCTGTTTTTTTTTTGTATTTATTTCTCTTTGGCACGCCAAGGCTGTCATTCTGTTGGTTTTATGGCAGACACAACTAAATCACAAACAGTTGGGAAAACTTGCTCAGAGAGCCTCTGTTAAAGCAGGAAACCTGTCGAGATCTCAGCAGGGTGTTGACAGTGTCGATAAACAGCAGACTTGACTGGATGATGAAGCTGTGGTAGCAGCAGGGGAAGATAAGTGGAACTGTGAGCCACAGCCACAAAGATAGAGCTGCTGAAAGAGCCAGGGTGGCTCTTCATAACAACAGGTGCTGATTTAAATAAACAGTTATAGACTGAACTATAATTACACTGCGTTAAACTCTGAACCAATTTTAAGTCTGAGCTCGAGTCAGGGAGCTAAGGATCAGAAAAGGTTTATTTGTCCATCTGATGTGCGATAATGACATCTGCCTAAATACGTACGTTATGCGACATGACCGGGGGCCGGCTGCTTAGATTCTTTTTTAGCTGACAAATGCTCAGGATGTGACTTTCAGATAAATCAAGAGTTACAGATTTACTGACGTGAAGAGGTGACCTCGTGAATCATAGACATCTGTTTGAAGACACGTTTAAAGGTGTGTGTGTGTGTGTGTGTGTGTGTGTGTGTGTGTGTGTGTGTGTGTGTGTGTGTGTGTGTGTGTGTGTGTGTGTGTGTGTGTGTGTGTGTGTGTGTGTGTGTGTGTGTGTGTGTGTGTGTGTGTGTGTGTTGTGTGTGTGTGTGGGGCGAGTTAGGATGTTTTGTGAAATAAATCCCGTCTCTGCGTTAAGATTCTGATACCAGCCTTGATGACACCGAGGTCCAGAATCTGTTAACTATAATAAAACACGTTTATTCAGTTCACAGACTTTATTCACCTCACAAGTGAAACACACCAGGTCGTCTCTACACACAAAGGCGCTTACACGCGCATGTGCAGTTCAAGGATCACAGCCGTAACAT